CCAACCGAGAATCTTTCACCAATAGTTGGTATCTCCGCTTGTTCGAAGAAAGTTCGAATAACTTGTCAACCCGATCGTACAACAATCCTACAAATCGGGGTTCTTTCTTTCCTTGTGGTTTGGCTACAATGTCACAAAAGTCCACCTGTTAGCGAAGACAAAAAACAAGAAATTAATACTCGAAATGAAGCAAAAAGGAATATTAACTTACAATAACTAGATTTAACAACCATTGGGATACTTGTCCCATTGGTAAGAAGATCGTTAGCAAAGTCGGCACACTGCCAGTCTCCACCAACCCACAACCATTCTTCTTGAAATCCATGGAGCGTGTCGGGAACTTCCGTTATCAACTCACCAACCTTGACCCTTGACTGAGGTTTACCGACAATCGAAAAGGTAAGAAGCGGATCTGCCACTTGTCTATCCGGGCTTTTCCGAAAAGTAAACATACTTCTCATGTCACTCGTCGACGGCAAATCCCATTTCTTCTCTGCAAAAAGCACGAGCATTCCGATAACTCGCTTCTATGAATTCAGAGCAATTTGACATAAGGTCAACTCCCAATTCCGTAAGTATTCGAAAATTATGCGTGGCAGGAGAAATTGCAATCCCGATCTTAAAATTTCAGCAAACACACCGACACACCCTGGCGGTGGACATGTAATCCTTTCCCTAGGATACGGCGCAAACAAACGTACCGATGTAGGGACTCGAATCTCACTTCGCAACATAATGATATCAGCGTCTGTCAATATGCTCGGCTCACCGTGAAAGTTTACTTTGGGGTCTGGCCACCTTCTAATAGGTCGTCTCCAATATCTTGGATCGTCAACAGCATTCTCTTCCATTTTTTTGTCCCCTTCGGTATCGTTTAATCGGATATTCAGGCGCTCGATAAAAACTGGATCCCATCGACTATACTCGGAAAGCAATTCCATCTCCCCGGAATGAACCATGTTGATCATCATGACGTCCGGCTCGTCGTCACCAGAAGATGCCCACGACACACTCATGATCCGAGGAAAAAATATACCGAAAAAGATAAACAAAATAAAGAAATAAGTCTTACCACGAGAAGAAATTCACAGATTTGAAAGAAGTACTCTGAAGGATACAGTTATGAGTCGATAAGTTAAAAGAAGTGACGAAGTTGCAAGAAAACAGTAAATTAGATTGCAAAGGGAAATTGAAGATAGAATAAACTTCAAGGGACGATTTTCTATTTATACTTAACCCTAAATTCAATAGTGACCGTTGAGGAGAAAAAGAAATAGGGGCGAGTGGATTGCACTTTCCAATCTCACGAGTGAACGCGACCCTTGAGAACTGCGCCTATCGACGGCAGCTACGTGGCCTATAAAAAGTAACCGTTGCCCCGTCAGCGAACGTTGTAATTAATTCTCGCAGATTGTGCCGTTTCAGCTTCCAATTCTTTTCCACGCTAAGTACTGAGACGTCGGGGCACAACAACAAAAAACCGACATGTCTGGCTTGCTCAAATTAAGAATTTCATGATATTTTTCAGCATCAATACCCGTCTTCTTCAAGACACCCATTAATGCTGGGGGCCACCTTGTTGATATGGTTTTCGGTAAACCAAATAATTAATAATTATTGGCACCAGGAGCTCAATAATTAGAAGATTATGCTATCTCAGAAGTTGATATACTCACGAATTTCAAGTAATCACAATTCGGATAAGAATAAGCCGAGTACCGACGTCGTCGTCAAGAAACCGACATCTCATATCGGTTATGGACTAGCGAACCGATATCTATGGCATGACAAACCGACATCACGAGGCGGTGCCAACTCAGCAAATCATCATTACGCTTTGCCAAGTGGCGTGTTACAAGAATGAGTGGCAATCAGCCACCATTGACTTTTCTTTGAGAATTATTATTGTT